ATTTTTTGTATTCTTATTTTTAATTAGAAGTCAATTTCTATGATATAAATGATGTAATTTTTTTGTATTCTTATTTTTAATTAAAAGCTAATTTCTAATGATATATATTATATATAATAAGCATTATGTTTCTGTATGTAGAAGCATTTTCAATTGCTATAAATATGTTATTTTATTTTTTTATCTTATAAAATTGAGAAGATTGGTGAAGAAAGTGTACTTGAACATTTTAATAATATAATCTTGCATCTGCATCAATGTCAATGTTATCATACACTTGAACCGAAATAAACCTATATACTGTATATAGCAGGTTTCAAGCTAACATGCTTAGGCATACAAAATTAATAATCAAATAGGTTTCAAAACACGAACTAGCAAATTTAAGCAGAATAACATCCCTACTTAAATTTCAATTTAATCTAAGTGCACTTAGAATCAACTTATGTTGATTCTAAAATTACCAAAATTACAATATATATATATTTATTTATTTATTTATTTATATACGTATAAAATAATAAAAAAATATATTTAAAATTTAAAAAAAAATTGTTATTTAGTATATAAATTGGATTGCACTACGTATAACAAAGATATTGTTTTTTTAAAAAAAAATAAAATAAAAATTCAAGCAGAATTTTAACAAAGTTACAATTCTAAAAGAAAAAAATTTTCTATATCAATTTCTTTTTCTTTTTTATCACGCACTTGCTGAATCCAGCTTTTAAGACACATAGCTGCACATGCAGTATCTGTTTTAAATTATATCGAATTTTGGTTATTGTATTTGCGGCTACAGAGAAAGCCTGTTCTGAAGGTACACTTGAACCCTGTATACTTAAATAACATGATGCCATTTTTGTTAGAGTGGGAAAGTCTTCACTAAAATGATGCCACCAATCTAATGGATTTGTAGTAGAATCAACTGGTAAAGAAAGATATCAAACAATTTCATCCTCGACAGGTACTTGTTCAGAATCTTGTTCTGAAATTAAAGATTCGAAAAATGATCATTTATTTTTTCTTGTCTGTAAATTATGAATAGATTGCGTATCAGTATTGTTCTTATATAATTCTATTCAGTTATGCAAAAGTGTTACAGCATTTTCACGCTGTTTTATATCTATAAAAGTTTTAGTTTTAGATTGTGGATTTAGTAAAGTACCAATCATTGTTAAATCATTAATATATTCCCAATATTCCTGAAGTTTAAAGTTAATTAATTCTGCTACTACACACTCATCTAAATCAGTA